TTTTTTTTTTTTTGTTTCCAGTCCGGGGAGGCCGACACAATTCCCAGGGAACCTAACCCCAGCCCTCCGGCCCCTCCCCCCTCCTCCCACCCTCCCTGCGGGTCCTCCTGGAATTGAACTCCGCGTGCAAGTGCGTTCATTGAACGGAGTTCAATTCCGTTCAATTTCTGAACGGAAAGTCGCGGTCAAAAAAAAAAAAAAAAAAAAAGGAAAAGTCGCGGTCAATGAACGCGTGGTTTCATAGGCCTAAGAGGTTAGCAGTGGGAGGAGGTGTGTTCCTCTTCCCCCTGAAGATGGAGGGGTAGGGTTTGACAAGGATAAGGTAAATTGGTGGGATGAGGAACTGGGGGAGGCGGGGTATCATGGTGGATAGCTCAACTGGTGGGATTTTACTGCGGCTGTGTTTTTTTCATGTGATCGACTGCCTATCTTACAATTTTATACTTATAAATAATTCCCGCATGGATTTACTCTATGAAATCTTGCTTTAACATCTCTTGATCGTAAATCCTTATTTGGTTTGCTTGGATTTTACTCTGTGGTGTTTTGATTTCTAGTCATCCTTGATTTTTAGTTTCGGTTTCAAGATTTTTTTTTTTTTTTAATGGGAACAAGGCTCGAATCTATTCGTGGGCTATGAACTGTTCTTTTTCTTCAATCTTATATTAAATTTCGAATAACTACGTTTCCATTACAATTGGAAATTAATTCACTTTGAGCTTCTCTGTCAACTTTCTGGATCTTCAGTTCGAAAATCAGAATATAATTCATTCTGGTGACAAATTAGATCGCCTTGATTGTAACCGCAATTAGCTGACAGTCTGATTGTTTTCGATTGCAATGGTCCAGGAGTGTTTCTCCCACAGCAGGTTGAGAGTCACTGCCATTTGCGGTGGGACAGGGGGTGGGGGGAACTTCGGCCTCGCAATAATAGTATACCTTATGGGGGATCATGGTGTATTATTTAGAAGGTACGAGGTGAGTGAAGGGGCGTGTGGCTATTGGGAGTTGTCGAGGGAGGACGGCACTCTCTGCCGTCAGAACAAGGCTGGTCGGGTTCGGTACTGGGGAGGCTTGTGTTGCTCTGTAACCCTAGCAGTGGGGGGTATGAGATCAGTTGAGTTCTGGTACGAGGATTCGGACTGAATGCTTGGTTTTATGATGTTTTTTCGATTGCCGAAGGGGGCTTAGGGGAGGGTTGAACTGTAGGAGGTTTCAGTTAGGGTCTTCTGCTTCCAGGATTGGATGGTGTTTGTCTAGATCATGGGAAACTCTCGAGAATTGTAGTCCTTAAGGTTTTGTCATAAAAGGTGTTTCGTAGAATTGGAGATTGCTTGATTGGCCACTTCGCCGAAGCCGGGTAATGACCCTGGAATTTCAAACGACATTGTGTTCTACTTTGCGACTGCGTGGACTACTTCTATTCTTCTTCTTCGAACTAATATGTGGTCGAAGAGGTCGGCTCGTCGGACTTGAAGGAAGATGAAGAGTTGAAGTCTGCTTTTAACCATTATGCGATTCCGTGAGGTTGCTTGCCTGCTGTTTTTTTTTTTTTTTTTAATCTTCCAAACTATGTGGTGGAGGAGGTCTGCTCGTCGGGAGATGATGAAGAGTAGAGGGGTTGGTTGTAGGGAAGTGGGAGGATGGTTTCTTAATTTTCGCAGCTTGTTCAAAAAAAGAGGTTTTCTCATAGGTCCTGGTATTTCAGTGCTTGTTGTAATTTCAAATGGGACGCTGGGCTCGGTGCCCAGCACGTGCTGCTCCCAAAAAAAAAAAATTAAAAAAAATCAAAATCTTTTTCAGTCCACTGTACCTGTTGTTAACTGTCAGAAAAGGCGGTAGGACCTCGAACACGGGGCCGCTGTATTTGATAGTTTATCAGACAGTTCTCAGAACTTGTCTATGTAAACCCTAAACCCTAAACCCTAACCCCTCACGCTGAATTCGTGCTGTATGAAATATCTGTGAAGTCCTGGTCTGGAGAGTCATCCTGATGCATCAGCTTGTGAGATTCGCGAGTGAGGGGTTAGGGTTTAGGGTTTAGGGTTTAGGGTTTAGATAGACAATATCTCAATCTGACCCCCCTTCAATCACGCTGCTGCCCTGCCTTTTTTGGATAGTACTTCTTTTCCGTCGGGAGGCTGCTTCCCGGATCTGGGAGGGACCTGTGTTTCAATACTGCCTTTTTGCTTTCAAGAAAAAGAGAGGGAGCACGCCTTGAGATAAATGGACAGCCCCTGGTAATTTAGAATCTATTCATCCCATTCCGTCCGGATTCGAACTTGGGGCCGTATTTCAACAGTTCACAAGTGTTCTAACTGAGCTAGCCCTGTTGGTGGAAGGAATCCGATCTGTTTTAGCTCCCTTTGCTGCTACATTTCTTCTTCTCCCTATCCTCTCTGTTCTGCCGTCCCTCTGGTGTCCCCAGATACAAAAACTACCCATGCTGATGATAAAGGCAAGAAGACTTTCCAGCCAAGTCTCATTAATTGATCATAACGATATCGTGGAAATGCTGCACGAACCCAAATATATAAAAACAGAAAGCCTTCGGCCTTTATACTGAACCAACTGGAGACTGATCCTTGAGATGTAACTTGCCCCCCTCAACTTCCGCCAGCAGCGCCAGGAAGCCTTCAAGTTGCACCAGTAGCCGCTCATGTTCAAGCCTTCGGAAGATTCCTTTTTTTTTTTTTTTTTTTTTTTTTTTTTTTTTTTTTTTTTTTTTTTTTTTTTTTTTTTTTTTTTTGGGTTCCTCTCTTTTGTCTGAATGCTTGAGAGTCCACTGGATGCACTGGCTGGGTAATGTCCTTACCTACGTTCTTGCAGTTTGGGAAAACTTTTATACCCCCCCCCGGGCCCACGTGACGAAACCTTTGTATTCATTTCCCCCCAAGCGGGGCAAAAAGTGCCGCAGGCCCAAAAATGACTTCTCGTGTCCACTGACTTTTCATGTCCTTTTTGCACCCTGTCAAACACTTTCCCTCCATTTTTGCACATTGGCCATTACCGGCCCAGCCAGGGTGCAAAATGACATGAAAAGTCATTTTTTATTTTGACCACTTCTCTATTTATGTGTGTCATCCTTGCACAGGGGCCATACTACTAATCTTCTCTTTAGCACGGATGCCCCAAAGGACAATGACATGAAAAGTCATTTTTTTGTGGCCTGCAGCACTTTTGCCCCGTTTGGGGGCAAATGAAATGAATACGAAGATTTCCTCGTGGGGGGGGCCTTAGAACTCTTCCCTTACAGTTTAAGCTGTTTAACTAATTATGTGTCTGATGTGTACCTCTGAGGTCCTGAGGGTAGTTTGGCAGTGGCCTTAATAAAGGCCCTTAAAGTTTCCATAAACCCCGCAGTATGCCCTCTTTAAATTTGCCAGAAGAACCAGAGTTGGAAGTTCAACTTGGAAGGGGCTTCTGAGTCCTGCTGTTCAAACTTTAAAGCTCGTCAATTTCCCTCAGAGTTCCGTGTCCGCTGTGACGTTCGTTCCCGTTTCTTCTCTCCTGATGCCCTCAACAGGGTGTCAGCTGCGCAAATTGTCACTCCCCGAGAAACAGAGGATCAGGTCTAAGACTTTCAGTCTTTTGGAGATGATTAGGAATGATGATATGAGCATACACTCCTAATCACCCAGTTAGACTCTAATCTGTTGGTGGGGAGTATCACCTGCTGGGGGAGACTAGGTCCTGCGTCCCTTCAAACCACCAGTACTTGGCCCAGCTATCGATGTCAAGCCTCACAAAGCCCTGCTCGCCAAGTTTTGCCGAATCGCCACGGCGACCTGGACGTTTTTCTTTCCTTTTGGTTATCGCTTCCAGCCCTTGTGGTCCGGCGGTACCCCGAAGCTCGGAGGTTGCGGCACGTTAACGGGAAATGCCCGCACGTTAACGGGAAATGCCCGCAGCCGATGTATGGGCCAAGTACTGGTGGTTTAACAAAGTTACTGAAGCAGATTCCAAGCGGTACAGATTATTCTGAACACCAGGGGATTGACCCTGGTCCACCTCTTCAGCCATCTACCGACTCTACAGACCGCCAGATGAAGCATAAAGCACTAGCAATTGCACCCCTTAAGAAATATGCTGAGGTCCCTGAGGGCCTGAGGATTGCTGTTCCCACTTTGCTCACCGCCCCCCCCCCCCCCCCCCCCCCCCCCCCCCCCCCCCCCCCCCCCCCCCCCCCCCCCCCGCGGGATATTTTCCCCCCCCCCCCCCCCCCCCCCCCCCCCCCCCCCGGCCGCCGAACCACTGTAATTCTACCAAAGCTAGCTCAGTGGGAGAAAACAGCTCTGGGAAAAATGCAGCATCTCTGAGGAAGTCTCCTGTCAGTGACTGAATGTTGAACCAATCATTGAACTCTGAAAATAGTCCCTTTTGACCGGCAGCTCAGAAGCATTTTCCGCGGGCCATATCACCTTTCTAATCCCCTTTTCATGTGATATCCCCTAGGCTAAGCCAGTCCTTTGCAAAGTTAATGATGTTTTTTTTTTTCTTCTGTTGTCTTGTTTTTGCGTGAGAGACTTCATCTTGGTTTTAATAGTGGACCTCAACAAAATTCTTAATAATCTCAGAAGATTCGGCGCCTTCCATGTCCATGCGCCGTACGTCTTCCATAACAAGTACACATCTTTTGTGCCATACGACCCACACATTGTCAACTGCTTTTCTACCAAGTTGAACTTAGAAGACAAAAATAGTTCGTCTGAAAACTGGACAGTGAGAGATTACTAGGGTTCTTCCTTTCGCTGGCTGTCACAAACTCTGCACCACCATGATGCTGTTTGCTCAGATTACCGTTCCTTTTTCTTCCAATGCATCGGTTCAGCCATTCTTTCAATTGAAAGCGAAAATAATACAGAGTCTGACATGATGTCCTAAAGGACCTGGCTCAATATCCATTCTGGGGAGCATCAGTCTGGTTCCTATTCCATGGGCAACTGAGGAAGATAAGACATAGTACACCCACAGTGACCCACTCTTAAACCGCAAGTACATGGCCGCAGCCTTGCAGAATGTTTTTATCGCCACAAGCTGAACTCGAAGGGGCCGCGCGGAGTGGGGCACCGTTGAAAAAAAAAATCAGCGGCCTCCGAAGTGGTGCAGGTTTCGTGTTGACACCCGCAGGCCGATGCATGGTGTGCTCAGTCTGGTGGCTTAACACTTCCCCATGTTATGGCCAAGCCTTAGGGAACCCGGACAGCACTGATCACTTTGGAAGCCTTAGGATCCGAGGGTCGACTTTCAGCCTTTCAGGTACGTCCATGACTCCATGCTTCCGAAATCCCCCCAACAGCATCCCCCCTAGTACGCCGACTCGGAGGAGGTTTCAGGGCTAAGCCTTTCTGTTTAATTTGCAGGCCCTGGGCTTTACGATCTTCATTGGATAGGATATAAGTTAACATATGCAAAAAATAACTTGAAGCAAACAAACAAACAAACAAAAGTTACCATCTCCTGTGTCAATACTATGCCAACAGTACTGAACTGGAACTACCTTTGTTTTTCCTGTCTTACCTTGTTGAAAAAATGCCTCCAGGATCACAATGACCAGGTGCAACGCACCACCTCATCAGGACGAGATCCTCCTGGGCCAGGCTACCAAAACCAGAGATACCAAGTGGAAGCTGCAGGTGGAGATGAAAGATGGCGTGAGCGTCACGCTCCTCAGTACCTTGTAGGAATGGACGATCACCTGCGAAAACTGAAGGCAATGATCATGGGCTCCGGCGCAAGCAGGGTTGTTGGTGTCATCGGGAGCTGCACCAAGAGCAGATAAACTAATGAATCTGGCAGACCTCTTGCTGCCCTTCAAGTTGGAGGAGAGGGAGGAACTTCAAGATTGGTAGGTGTGGCGGGAATGGGAGGGATAGGGAAGACCACCCTCGCAAAACTCGTCAACAACGACACGGAAATTCGGGAGCACTTTACTGATGGTGTGTTTTGGGAGGTAGTTGGATTTGACAGACACCGAGCTAACCCTTCTGCACTAGATGTGATGAAGAGTCTTCACCAAACTCTCCACAAAGCCTTTAAGTCTTCCAAATCACGGCCAGAAGATTTCAATCCCCTCGATGTGGATGATGGAATTGGAAAACTTAAAAAGGCGCTGCAAGGGAAGTGTGTGCTGCTGATAATTGACGACGTTTGGAAGATCGATAGCATTGACTGGATTCATGACGTGATTTCCGATACCGGACGGGTGCTCATCACAACAAGGAACGAACAGGTTCTTTCGAGGCCAGGTGTCGGAGTTCACAGACTGGGATTGCTAGACGACGACTCGGCACAAGAGCTGTTCCGCTGGTATGCTTTTTGCCGTTTTCGGGCCACCGGGCATAGGGTCCCACCCAATTTAGAACCTCTTGTGGTGGAAGTCTGCCACGAGTGCAAGGGACTTCCTCTCGCTCTGAAGGTCATTGGGTCCTCCATGTCCGGAATTTTCGACAGGGAAGAGTGGCGCCGAGTTTTGCACAAATTGAGGACTGCCACGCCCTTGGATACCCCGGCCTTTAAGGAGTCTTTGATGGCCGTTTTAACCGCAAGCTTTACCGACCTCTCTCCTGTATTGCAGAACATGTTCCTAGACTTGGCCACGTACCCAGAAGACTGTGAAATTCCAGTTGCCCCATTCCTAGAGATGTGGGCCACTGATGCAGGTATTGAAGACACAAAAGAGGCAGAGTGGTTGCTGAAGCAACTTGAGCTCCGCTCGCTGATCACACGCGACCGACCAAGTTTCAGTGAGGCCATACCTGCACCGAAATTTCCATTTCCTGGTACATGTGGGTCCTGTAGCGTTCACGATGTACTTCGAGATATGGCACTGCAGATTATCAGGGATGGTTGTGGCATGCTACAGAGGAAGCGGCTGTATATCTCACCCTTGGAGCTCCAGCAACTACCTAACTTTTCTCAAGGACACGCACGAGTTGAGGCGAAGGTGATATCCTTCCTCAAACCGAAAATGAGGAGGGACATCTCACATCTGCAGGACAAGGGTCACGACGACTCCGAAATCCAAATTGTGGAAAGGTTATTTGCAGGCTGTGAAACCCCAAATGTTGAAATGGTCTTTATAGGCGCTGCTAACCAGTTCAGTGCGTACTGTAACTCCTCCATGACACTTGCGAACACTAGAAGACATACTACGGTGGACACTAGAAGACATAGTACGAGTAGGCCCACAATAAACCGGATTCTCGGGGCACTCTGCCGGCCTTCGTCCACCCTAAGAGTTTTGTGGTTACCTGACTGTGGCTTTGAATGCCTTCCAGATGCCATCTCCTGCCTGAAAGGCCTTCGGTACCTCGGACTCCCAGGTTGTGCTGATCTCAAATCACTCCCTGATTCCCTTGGCGAGCTGGAAAGTTTGCAGGCGCTGGACTTGTCGGGATGTGGGTCCCTTCGGCAGGTGCCACCATCGATCGGGAACTTGAAGCACCTAAAGAGTGTGTCGTTCATTGCCGAAGAGAGTGCTTTGCCGATCGTGACCTCGGAGGACAGAACCTCCTCTGATATTCATTTTGTGAACCTGATGTTCGATCTGCCGTGTCTCGAAACCCTTCGCTTGCAAGCTCTGGACAAAGAGTGGGACCATCTCCGATTGGCACCTCTCGCTAACCATTGCGAATCACTCAGGGAACTGGTACTTGACATAAGTCCCAGTTTGCCGGACCAAGCGGTTAGCCAAATTGGTTACTGTGCAAATCTTAAGGCGCTCGATATCGTACTTAAGTCCTCAAGTTCTCTGCTGCCACTCACGTTCTCACAGCTTACCTCTCTCAGTAGCTTGCGAATAAGCAGCTCGAAAATAACATCGCTAAACAATATCAACTTTGGAGTCTTCGATTCACTGGAGCGTTTGGCGTTCGCTTGTTGCGATTTCCTAGAGGACGGGATTGGATCTATTGCACTTTGCACAAACCAACCCGCCCTTCACTTCTCTTGCCTCAGATTGACTGGTCTGCACCACTTCAGATTCGATCAGTTACGTTCACTGCTCACACTGGATTTGCTAGAAATAAAAGGACTAACATCTCTGCCTCAGTTCCTACCCACCTGCGAATCGCTGACGGATTTGAGTATCGCTCGATGTCAGACTCTGTCTCAGATTGCCGGGCTCGGCGAGGGCTCTTTCCCAAACTTGAAAAGGTTAAGGTTACATGGTCTTCCTGTGGAGGTGGTGCCCGCTGGTCTTGCCTGTAAGACTTCTTTGGAGGTCCTCGAGTTGAGTTACCTGCAGAATGTAAGAGAACTACCCGAGTTCGACAGCCAGAGGATGAGAAGTCTGATCACTCTTGTTGTGGTTAAATGCAAACACCTCAGCAGAGAGAGTCTAGTACAATCTCTGCTAGTCTGAACACTCTTGTTGTGTTTCAATGCAAAAACACCTCAGCAGACAGACTCTAGTACAATCTCCTCACTCTTGCCCGTCTCTAACTTCGGATAGGATTAACTTGGGAACCCAGGTTTGAAGTACCGTTCGGCGTTCGCGGTTTGCAGCTCTTCGGTTTGACAACACAGTTATGATACATATAGTTATTATTAAACGACCAGTACTTCCTAGAGTCGTGCCCGTTAACGCACCACAATTTTAGGAGACATACGGGCTACTACAGGAGCTCCCGAATTCATCCGACTAGAAACATTTCTATTCTATTTTTTCCGCGGCCGATAGCTGGGCCAAGTACTGGTGGTTTAAGCCTTGAAGTTTGCTAGCTCAACAACACCAACTCTGTTGTACTTTTGGTAATTATTGCTTTTTTCTCGAAATAACTACAGCCGCCTGCTCATCCTTTCAGAGTAACTGTTAAGGTGAACAACTAAAAGTCATTTTTTGCAGTTCTGTAGCGGCCTGAGTTTTAAATCCAGAGGCGGATTTCAGATACACTTTCACTTCTGCTACTGTAACAGGCAAGTCAGCTCCCTCCTGGGCCGGGCCCAGGGTACCCCGCGCAGACCCTCCAGAATCTCATAGTTCTTTTGTGAACCTGCCATCTGAGGCTCAATCTGGTGTAACAGTCGCAGTGCTTCGACTGGCTTTTTCCGAATAATATCTTGACGTCACCACTGACAAGTCAAAGGGAAAATACGTAATGTTGGGGAACAGCAAACTCCAGTGATGTTAAACAGATCTGGTCGGGGCCCGGGGGCCATGTCCCACTTCTCGAGGTTTTGTTCTGGTTTCGAGTATACATGGCTCCCTGCCATCCGATCTGAAAATCTCACGGTCCTACCGGTAGTTTGACCACTTTGGAAATACGGGAAACGTAAACTAGACCCCCTGGGCCACTAGTTGGACACGGCCCGGGGACTCCCCAGGCATCACTGCAATCGCGACCGCATGGCGACGTGGAGCATTGCAGTTCATTTCCAGTCCCTTTGTTTTCTACTCTTACTTGGATTTACTTTGGGGCAGTCTTTGGCAGATACTCTGACTCTCTGAGCAGAGTCAGCAGACCATGACAGCTGCAGCCTCAGCAGGGAAAATTTAATGTGTTCAAGCCTTCAAGGAAATAAAATGCGCTGTTTGTCATTTGTCTTACAAGGTCACCGTGTAAACACACTGGGGTGGTAGTTTCCCAAAATGAAATTCAGTGTAATATCTTCTGATGACAAGTACAGCCTGAGCTGGATGAATCTGTCAGTGACTGCAAACAAGTCCAGAGCTTAGTAGATAAAGTCCTCGAGTGAGAATTATGGCTGTAGCCTGTAGTGGACGTGATAAAAAGTTTATAAGGAAAAGATGAAGATGAAAAAGGTGGGAGAATGTCGTTGAATTTGATTGCTTCTCCAGAGACCAAGATATTGTACTGTGGCTTTTTCTTCCAGAGGAGTCTCTTTATTTATCCCAGAAACAGAAAAGCGCTACTACCGGTAGTAGCGTCTGTAGGAGTAGTAATTGCGTTCTGACTCCTGAGTCACTGCGGCGTTTTCTCAAGCTCACTCAACATTTTTGGGAAGAAAGTGATTACTGTGCGTGGCTGAGGATGACAAGAGCACACATATGTGGGGATGAAATCCCACAGTGGTAGTGAAATTCTGATGTAGAATTTTGCAACGCTTTGCTGTAATGAAAAACTGGAAGGATACAGAGAGAGAAGATTGGCCTGGCGGCACCAAGAGGGGGCACAGCGCTACTGGGAGCGCTGCGCCCCATATCGACATCGCGTTTTCACGGCGAGAGCTGGTACCTTCCGGAGGTTGGTGCACTGCGGTACACGGCGATACTTGGATGGTAGCTGCGTGGGATGAGGGTGGTTGTGCCTTCAAGTTGGCGACGGTGGTACGTTTCTACCTTCTCTACCGTTGCGTGACGAGAGGGACGTGTGATGAGACAGGGAGGAGTGGGGTTGGTGCTGCTTTCGTTTCCCTAGGAGTATTGCCCTTAGGTTTGCTCTTGGTGAAGATTCTAACGGCGGGCTACGAGAGATGGCAGATCGAGTAGACTTCTGACGCCATGGATGTTCTTTCTCCCTCCAGACTTCCAGCGAGGGGTCGTCGACGGGCTCGGCGATTTGGGCTCGCTACGTGGCTGTGTTGTGGTAAGTATTGGCCACGGTCCGACAATCTTCATCGTTCAGCTTTCTGGTTAGATGTGATGCAGACCACGAGCAGTTGAGATGCTTCTGAAGCCGATGAAGGAGGAGGTGGAGGTTGGGAGAGAGAGAGAACATGACATGTGCAAGGGGGGGGAATTAGGGTTGGTAAGGAATTATGTAGATTGTCCGCTGTTTTTCCTAAGTGACAAGACTGATGGTTGAGGTGCTAATTTCCTTCTGATTACAAGCCTATAAAATCCCTACTAAGTGCTTATTTTTCTGTCGTAAAACATGATCTGGATTTTTTTGACGATGATGCATTCTGATGCTGGCTTGACCGGGAAATTTTTTCAGACGTTGTTTTTCAATGATTTTGTTTTTTATGATTGTGCTCTGTTTAAAGTCTGATTCATGAGATCTTAGGTGTTTTCTGGAGTAATTGATCCCTAATATAAAATTCGTTTTTTCTGATTCTGAGCAAGATCCCTAATCTAAAATTCGTATTTTCTGAGCAGCATTTCTCATCTTAAATTCGTATTTTTTCTGAGCAAGATTCCTAATCTGAAATTCGTAATCAGAGTTTTTGCTCTGACCCCAATGAATGATTACTCAATTTTGAATTACAAAGGGTTACAATTTGATTTTCTCAAAGTGAAATTGATGTCCTACGTTTATCCATCTTTGATCTAATTCGAAATCTGACGTAGTTTTCCATATTTGTGAGTATAAGTTTAGGCTTTTTCTGAATTCGCTATTTGATGTCACTTATTTGAAGGATTTTGGATTTTCAAAAAACTGGTTACAATCGAGTCTCAAGATGTGATATTGTAGGATTTGGGCTCATAGGTGCTGATTATAATACCTCCTTCAGGGTTGGAGCCCCTCCCTGCGAGGGTTATACAAGGTGGGAGGTGTGATCCTTGAGAGGGTAGGGGCGGTATTGTGGGTTTTGTTCTCCTTTGGGCCGGACTGATCTGGGTCGGATCAACCATGGCTGTTGGGAGGGAGGACAAAGGACCGTGCTGTTTTTCAGCAAGATAAGAGGTCGAGAGGTGTTTCACTTGGAGGGGGTGGGACATGAGGGAAGGGGGATGTTCAGTTTTGCGGGGGCATGCTCTAGGGGGTATTGCATGCTGTTGTGGGAGCAAGAGTGAATTAGGGGGTTGTTATGAACTAGGGCTGGGAGGTGGGGGGCGCCTTCCAACAGAGGCAGCGAAAGGACAAGAGATCGTTTTTCGGGGGGGGAGGAGTAAGCCGCTCGGTTTCTTGCGAGTTTTCTTATATCCAGCTAAGATGTGAATAGGCGCAGAAATTTCCATCGGGAAAGAAACACTAGTTCCCTCCCGTCCTCTCTCTCCCTGTGGGAATAATAGGTGTTGACTACCCTTTTAGGTTATGACTCCTGCGTGTGTATCTGTGCTCTTTTAATTCTTTTTTATTTTTGAGGTTTCAACTGGAAAAATCGTCATAATTTTGGTGCTGGTTGCAGTGGATTGTGCTTGCGGTGATGGTTGAAGACAATGTGCTATGCGGCAAAGGGGCTAGCCAGTAGGGCGAAAATAGGGGACAACAGCGGTGGAGATGGTGGCTCTACCACAATAAGTTTTGTCGCAGTAAAGTTGAGAAGGTTTGTGTTGGATGTTTGCAGCCAACGCTTGAAAGAGTGGATGATTGGAACTACATCCATGGCGGCGATTGATGGATTGTCTGGTATTTGTTGATCCCAGTGGTTTCCAAATGGACGAGGTCAGAACGACGCTGGTCGGTGTTGGGGCTTGGTCGCGCTGCCCTGTAACCAAAGAGGTACGGGAACATGAGACCTGGTAGAGAGATCTGGGGAGTTGTCGAGGGTGGAAGGCACTCTAGTGTCTATTGGCAAACTGATCCTTAGTCGACGCTGGTCAGAGCCAGGGCGGGTCACTTTGCCATGTAACCTAGCAGGTGGGGGGATTTTTGGGGTGGGTCGTGCCACTCTGTAACCTAGCAGTTGGGGGTGGGAGGCCAGATAGAGATTGGGTATCGTGGTATACGATGGAGGCGGATAGGGTTCAGCTTCTGATAGTCGCCAAAGGTAGGTGGTTTTCGGTCCGAATATTTCCATGATCAAATCTTAGAAAACCGTGGTCTTACGAATGATTTGTGATTCTGGGGACCCTTAGCAACTCATTTTAGGAGGCTTCATTACTATTATACTCAGTGATCTGTGGCCGTCCGATGCCCCGGATGCCAGAACAACGCTGGCCGGTACAGGGGAATTGCCCTGTAACCTGCTGATGCAGGAGTGTGAGGCCTGGTAGAGAGATCTGGGAATGCTTTGGGTTGGGCATTTCAAGGGACAACTAAGGGTTACTGCTGGGATGACACTGGTCGGAGCTGGGGTGAGTCGTGTTGCCCTGTAACCCGAGCGGGTGGGGGTGTGAGACCTGGAAGAGGTCGGCAGGGAGTAAGACGGTGTTGGAGATTTTTAGAAGGATTTGCTTAAAAGGGATTCCGAGGGTTTTGAGCATTTATAGGACCTTTGTGATGGCGATTTTTGCTTATAGACCTCCTCTTCAGCGAATAGGCTAGTAATTGCTCATGATCTTATTCTTTAGACAAAGCCGGGTTGAAGTCCCGGTATCTCAATTTTTTTTTCTGTATGTCTCTAAAAAAAAAACAGAATGCTTTAGGATTTTGGGGACTTCTAGCAATTTGCTTTAGGGTCTCGCCGCACGGCACACGAAACAAAAACGAAACGAGTGGATCTGCCGACGAAAGGTGGCAAAATACACTCGTTACTATTTATACCAAGCCGATGAACCTGGCCGTTTTCTGGAGGAAAAGACATTCGTTTCGTTTTTCGTTTCGTGTGCCGTGCGGCAACGCCCTTAGGCTGTTTGATACTGGTACATTCATGGATCTGTGGTTGTTAGATGCCAGAACGACGCTGGCCGGTGCTGGGGTGTTGCCCTGTAACCTGCTGACTGCAGGAGCGTGAGGCCTGGTAGAGAGATCTGGGGATGCTTTGGGGTGGGCATTCCAAGGGACAACCAAGGGTTGCTGTTGGGACGACGCTGGTCGGAGCTGGGGCGAGTGAATGTTGCTCTGTAACCTAGCCGAGTGGGAGTGTGAGGCCCTGGAAAGCCCGACAGGAAATAAGACAGTGTTGGATAGTTTTAGTGAGTTTTGTTTGGGAGTCTAGGGGTTCTGAGCATTTGAAAAGAGGTCAGTAGTCATTCATAGTTTTTCAACCTCTTTTTAATTCTCTTGAATTTCTTCAATAGTTCTCAATAGTTCTCAGATTGATTCTCAGCCGAAGCCGGGTAATGGCCCCGGTATCTCAAATGACTTGTGTAACTCTATATGGGACACTGGGGCCGGTTCCCAGCACGTGTTACTCCCCATGAATACACTGGAGCATTTGTCAAAAAAAAAAAAAAAAAACACTTTGCTGTAATAAATTAATAATTATATAGTCTTTTGGAAAGTTTAGCAAACATGGAATACTATTGTTGTTCCCGTTCCACCAGAGGCACCTAGGTAGTGCTGCTTTTGGTTTCTGTTTGGTGGGCAACAAATGCTGCATAAATGGAACAGTTTTCGGTCTTTCTTTTTCTTCTTGTTTTTCTTTTAAAACAGGAAAACAAGCGACCACTACTAGAGGGGGTGGTAAGAGCAGCCGTCTCTAGTAGCTGTCCCTGGCTGCTCCATCTTGAGGTCAGTTTTCTTACAATTTAACTCCGTCTGGAGTTATTTTGTTTCCTCTTTTTTTTTAACACCAAAACACTCCCATCACTGCTAGTGGTGCTGGTAAATGCAGACACCGCTAGCACCTGGGAAGAGGCTCCATCTATTAGTGCGGAGCATCACTTGCTGTTTCCTCTTAACTGTGCAAGCAAATAAGTTTAACCGAAGTGCCCTGCTCGTCCCGAATGGACGGGCACAGTAACTCTTGTGACGGACGCTGGGACCGTTACTGTGTCCGTCACAAGAGTTACTGTGTCCGTTACTGTGTCCGTCACAAGAGTTACTGTGTCCGTTACTGTGTCTGTCACAAGAGTTACTGTGTCCGTTACCGTTTCCCCGCCTGTATGAATTGTCTTCGATAGTTTAGAAAAGAGTGGGGAATATACTTCGCGAAGGGGGGGTTCGGGCCCCCCACAAAAAAGGAATGGAGGCTAGTGTGGCTTTCTTTGAAGAAGAAGAATCTGAAGTAGCGAGGCCAATCGCTACGCGTCCATGTCCATAGGGAAAGCTTGACAGCACCTACACGGACAACAAGCTCAAAACGCGCACATTCCCCGACGCGTTTCGCCTGGCTGCGCACCAGGACTTATCAAGGGGCAAACCTCACTCCCGCATCCACCGTAACTTTCCTCCCATAGCGAAAGAGGGCCGTTCTGGCCTTGCCCTCTGGAGATATACCTGATACCAGCACCACGTCCGCACCTCGCGGCCCGTGCGTCTGTAACTGACTGCGTGGCGCCTACTTGGCTCACCAGTAACTGACCAGGTGTGCACCTACGTAGGCTCCCTCGTCCCAACGGCCTCACGTGTGCGTCTGTCTGCACGCCGAGTATTCAAAAAGCACGTGCACCGGCCTACTGGTGGGGGCTCATGTTGCACAGCGGCCTCTGGGCCTCTATCGTCCATTGTACCTGGTCAGTAGTCCCCGTTCAGTACATGCCAAGTCTGAACACTTTGCAGCTCCGCGATCCGGTTCTCTACCAGCATCACGGTGACTATATCTAGGACCCTATCCACCCCCTGCTAGTGTACATGCGGTACCGTGCGGTACCTGACTCCCTATTCCTACCTCCTCAGTCTCGTCTTCCCACTCGTGCCTACCACCCGTGTTACTAACAGAATTACAGGTTCTACTACTACTTTTTATTCTGTTCACACCCAGTAATGTACAGTCCTATGTACTAACTACTACTTTTGTTCACACCTAGTAATGTACAGTCCTATGTACTAATCTCGGACCGGGTTCTAATTCCCTATTATACACCCCTGGGTCTCACCTACCAGTGCTTGGAAACCTGGACCGACCGCTCTACTAGTCTCGGTGACCTCATCCAGCTCCACTACCGCCTTCCCCTTCTGCTCTTCGAGCTTCCTCTGGCTCACTCTCTCCACTCCCAACCCGTCGCACTCCCCTATTCTCTTCGTAGCTATCTGTTCCCAGGATTGTCTTCTCTGTCTCAGGTCTAACCAGTTGTTCGGTCAGCGTCCTCAGCGCTGTCCCGAACGAACCGGTGGCTCTGGTAAACATCGCCAGAGCATTGTAGAAGAGCGCCGGGGGGTACCCCCAGCGCTTGAGCTCGATGCTGATGGCCAGTGCTGCTGGTACCGCTGCCGCTGGGTCGCTTGCATGATGCGGAATCCTGTGGAGAGCTGCTGTTACTGTGCTCACCTTAAGACGCTTATCTGAGTAAGAACATAAATCTTGAAAACATCTGAATCTAAGCGGCTCTTCAAGGGTTACCCCTTCATTCTTGTGCTTCGGGCGAATCACGAATGTGATGGGACCTGGTAGTGCTAGGGCTCTGGTCCCTAAGAAGTCCCACGAGTTGGAGCCATCATCAGTCCGCACCAACATCAGCTCCTTCCCGTATGCTTCTGCGAACTTCTGGCGAATACTCCTCGCTGTTGCGACAGTCGCTGGATCGTGCATGTTACATGCTACCGCCAACGTGACATCATCCACGATTCTAACTCCATGTACCAGCTGTCGGTCTGCTCCTAGGGAGCTGATGAAGTCCACTTCACATCTTGCACACAGTATACAGGCCAGTGATGGGCTAGAGTTTTTCCCCATGGGGATGCCCACCAGCTGTTTGAGGTAGGTGTTGTCCGATTCGGAGTTGACCATTTGCCTGATCTGTGAGAACTTGACAGTGACATAACCTGGTCCCGGGCTCTTCCGATTAAGGAGCACCACCTTGCCTCGTCTGCTGAGGCTCATCTTGTGAACTCCTCTCTTCTCCCATAGTTGCAGCAACCATTCGACAGTCTGGACAATCGGTCTGTGTGGCAATGACGTAAACATTTCTTTAATGTCATAGCTCGCCATGAGGGCCATCGTCTTCTCACCAAAAATACTGAGTCTGTGTCCTGCCCCCTCTTAAGTTATGCTTCGACAAGGCTGTAGCTTTAAGATTAAAGTGCTGCGTTTGTGGTGCTTTCTCCAGCAGGTAGTTAAGTGCACGTGCTAATCTCCTCCCTGCAGTCTTCGATCCTTCCTTACACGCTGGCGCAATTGGTCTCCATCTCGTCAGGTCCTTATGCTTAGGTAATACATAGGCTTGCCCAAGTCTGGCCGCTGGGTTCCATGCTCCCATCTTATCCAGACCCTGCCTCTTGAATTCAGTTCTCAGCTCAGCTAGTACTTCAGTCTCCGTTCTTTCTGTGATCTGCCGGTAGGCCGTATTCACGTTGAACATCATTTGTAACCCATAGTGGTATGTCGAGGGACACATAACCACTAGGTCTCCGGGATTCCTGTCCACAGGCACCACCACTAGGTGCTTTAGCTTCGCTGCTAGTTCCCCCGCTTGCTCGTCAGTGCAGGCTGACCTTGTCCCCGCACGATCTGAAACATAACCTTCGAAAAAACTTTGGTCTACGATCTGGATTAATTCCCTCTTACC